ATTCTTTATCAAGCACTGGGGTATATTAAAACCAACTAACTTTAAAGTTAAAAGATAAAAGATAAAGGAAAAACAAAAAAAGAGAAATAGTAAAAAATAAAAAAAGAAAAAGAAAAACAAGACGCACACACAAAAAAGGAAAAACAGGAAAAATCAATAAACCTGTTAAGAAACTTCTGACTTTCCATGAACTGTCCCATCACGTAGTGTAAAATGTCTATGGTTTTCTATCTCTCTTGGTGAGCAGAGAGGAGGGGAATGAGTGGGGCGATTCAGAGAGAGACTGGTAATAAATCACTTTTCCCAGGCAGAATACCGCACTACCCAATCAGGGAATACAGATGTGGTCACATATTATGGAACTACATTTCCCACAAGGCAGTTCTGCCTACATTTCCCATAAGGTAGTTTCTTAAAGGAGACAGTACTTAATTCCTACATTAGCTATATACTTTTGGGACAGCACACCCACCATGACAACTGTTCTATTTAATGGACAAGGTTTTTCATTGCAATATTTTTTTTTTGTAAGAGCACCCAAATAAACTCAAATTTCCAAATTTTATCTCTTTGAAAAAGCCATTTTCAATTATATAAACCCTGTGGCGAAAAGAAGGGCAGAATCAAGGCCATTAAAAAAACAGAAGAAGGGAAGAGATTTTACAAGGATAAGAAGAAGGCAACATGGGAACTAAAGAAATAAAAATCTGATGAAGAAAAGGTGAAAAATACAGGTGGGACTAATACCTGTGTAAAAATTGTTCAACTCCAGTCTAGTTTCCCTTCAGTTAGCAGGACCACTTCCCATAATTTGTCAAATTCTGGCTAGTGACAATAGAAATCAAACTCCAGCTAGAAAACACCATACTGTAGAACTGTAGGTCTAGAACTGTTAGAAACCAGTTCTAGAAAACGGAGCACCCTTTTACAAAAATTAGATTGCCTATTATTTGATAACATATTTGGTTTTGAAAACCTTGCCATCTAGTTTCACTTTCTTTTACTTTACTAAATTACGCGTTCATGTCTATATTTTCCCGCTTTCTGTACAGGCAGTCGGCAACTTACAACAGTTCGTTCGGGACCATTCAAAGTTATAACAGCCCTGAAAGAAGTGACTTGTGACCCTTTCACGCACTTACAACCATTGCAGCATCCCATGGTCGCGGGAACAAAATTCAACCGCTTGCCAACTACCGTATTTTTCGGAGTATAAGACAAACCTTTTTCCCTCAGAAAAGAGGCTGAAAATCTGGGTGCGTCTTATACACGGAATACAGCATTTTTGGCCTCACGAAACCCCAGCCCCTTCATCAAAATGGTGGTGCAGAGCCTTTAGGCGTGACCCGTCAAAACCGCGTTCCACAAAAGTGCGGTCGACGAAATCGCGTATGTGATGTCATCACAATGCGACGAAAAAGATCGAAAAATTGAAATAATAATTAAATTACAGCAAGCCGATTCACATAAAGGTAAGGGTTAGGTTAAGGG